GTTACATATTGACACTTACTCGATCGTCATTTAACAAAAACAAAAAACAAAAAAAAAAAAAAGAAAGAAAGAAAGAAAAAAAGAAAGACAACCAAAAATCCAAGATATAACTGGATTTCTCATCGATAACGAATGAAAGATAACATCGAAGAGCATCTCAAAGAATTGTAAGTTCGTTTGGTTTTTAGATTATTCGACAATAATATGGTTACGAATGCCCGTGCAAGGCTTATATCAGACTAGCGTTATTAAACACTGCTAAAACTCCTTACACATGTATACATCCACGCATTTAGACATTTTCATAACATTTTACGAAAATATTCATTTCGTTTTCTTTTCTCTTTCCTTTCTTCACGGCGCGTATACTCGTCTCGTATAGAATAAGACATATTTTTTCAAAAAAGGAAACAGTTTTTTTAATCTCTAATAAATGAATAGCAGGCATTTTAGAACATTATTTATACCAAATGCATATTTTATCTAGAGTCTCGTGCGAATATTATATATAAATATAAACTATACGCGATGTTACGTTACATGTCTATTAAACAAAGTTGTGGTTTCATTCGAATGCAAAAATTATGGCTAATAATATAACTAATATAATACGAATAATTGCACAATACTAGCCATTACGTACATAAAAATATTGACTGATTTTTAGTATCGTTCATAAATATGTATAAACGTATTTGTCGTATAAAGTATAATTTAAAAAAAAAATTAAAATGTGTATTGCAAAAAAAAAAAGGAAAAAAAATCAAAATATAAATCTGAATCGGAGCGTGCATCGTATATGTAATACTATAGTGTCATGAACGTACATGCTAATATGTGAAAAATACAGATTCGCAATCGTTATAAAACTAGTTGTATTTTTAAATTTTGATTTAACGCGAATGTAAAATACTTTGTATGTCGAGTAATTCAGGGTAACACTCTAGTCATTTATACAATGAGAAAGTTGTTTATAGATTCACAAATAGATACCACACGCACATACCATGTGAACTATAAATGACTTTTAAAATTTCAAAATTATTGCTTGCAACGTCGCTTATTATCTATTTTTATTATCATTTAATCATTTGTCATCGTTGCTGTATATTTAGTACTGTCGTCTTATGTCGTAATTTTTGCTGTCCCGAGTAGAGAATGAAACGCTGAATAAAATGGCTAGAGTGCGAGCATCTTCTCTTTTTAATAAATATATAATAGAACAAAAAAAAAAAAAAAAAAATGTGCCACATTAAATATACACATAATTAAATATAATGTATGATTTTACAACCAGCATTAAAACAAAAGGAATTAAATATATAGTAAAGCACCAATGCTTAACTGCTTGATTATTCTAAAGAAGAACAGTTAAAAAAAAGATGTTGAAAGATTATAATCCTGTACGCGTTTGTTATACATACAAAAGCACGTGATATGTTGAGAATTAATCGTTAACATGTATATAGTGAATTTTGTTGTTTGAGATGTCTTTTGTGGTATTCGTATGATAACAAAAAAATTAAGTTTGAAAATATATCTATACTATATATACACTACACATGATTATTTAAATAACAAAAATTTATTGCGCTTTCCTATGATACCACATCGGAAGGAACTTCTTACAAAATTTCACCTAGCTCGGCATAAAGAAAAAAAATTGCTTTATAATAAACTATCGTTATATGATGCAAACGATTTTGCATATATTGTACATTGCAAAAGTAGTCAGAGCAATGGTTGACATATGAGAAACAGATTTATGGCAATTATTTGTTGCTATTGAAAATTCACGATTATACCAATAACTAATAATAAAATTATATGGATACATTATAATATCATCGGTAACACAAGAGGTATGAGAAATGTATATTGTATTATCTATTATACTTATATATATATATATATTTTATAATTTATATTTAATCGTGTACTAGTTAAAAATATACTATTTTTAGGTAGACATCTAAAAAAATAATGAAGAGTTTAACATATATTGTACGCCGTATTCTTTTTAGTAATATCGTTAATAACATAAAACATGTAATGTAATACGAAGCATGGAAATGTTAAGCAACTAACAGAGCTATAGCGTTAAAATACCAACTAATCAATAATAAATTCAGTGTACATAATGTAAAGAAAGATAAATAGCATAAATTTAATGACTCGTCTAAAAGTTTTGTTTGTAATTTTATCACACGAGCTCATCAAAGATACACTGTTACCGTAATGTCACTATGCTCCTGTTGAATTTTGTAACTGTTATGACAGTGTGTCATCTTTGGTGAGCTATTACTTTATCTTTCCTCCAATTAGTTGAACCGTTCAAGCTCGACGTGTATGCCTTAAGTACAATGTTTACATTAACATTTCTTCTTACCGATTTTATTACCACCAATGCATGTTGTGAATTAATTGTATCAATATGGTGTGGCTTCTACTTTTCTTTGCTCTACTTTGTACATGTTCTTTATGTTTGCGTTGTATATCATCCAGCAGTACGTGTCAACTTACTGTCTACTTTTGCTATGTACTATCTGTCGACCTTTACACGTTTTTGAAATTATTCTTTTGTTGTACCAAAAAGAAAAAAAAAAAAGAATATGTATTTCACACAATCCATTCCACAATTCCTATAGGAGGTTACCTTATGTCGAAACGGGGCATGAATATTTTTGAACTTGTTCTATTTGTGAATGAGAATGAGAAAAGTCGAAAACAGAGAATTACATACGGGTAAAAACAATCGTTATCGATATGACCTGTGAAACCTGCTGTATGGTAGTATCATGTATTTACATTACTTAATTGTACACCTAATTTCATTGAAGAGGGGGGAAATTCTTTTGTATGTTAATTGTGTTTTTCACACGTACACTTTACGTTACGCCATAGAATTTTCATATAAGTTCACAAGCATATACAAAATGCTTTTTATAGCTGCTTTACAGTATTAAAGTAGCTGCCTTTCGAACTATTAGTCAGGAGAATAGTGCTGATGAAAGACGATTATCGCGAATCGAAATCTATTCTAAGATAAGTTCTCAGGACAAGTGTTTGTTTTTGTACTTATAGTTTCGTACGAGACGAATGTTTCGATGAAATTCGGCAAACCGTATATATTATAGTTGTTGATTCTTTGCTTCCTCCGTTTGTTCGTTTTTACATTTCTTAGATACACGTTAGATATTTCAAACATAGCTTATACATTATGGAGATTAGGAACATAGTCACTAACGAACAATTGTATGAGTATTGTACATATTAATTCTAGTAAGATTCCAGCGTTCGACCACGAGTCGTCTGGCAATTGGCTTAGCCAATTTAGTAATTGTAATTTCACGTTGGAAATTACAATGCGCTGACGCAGTAGCTACCTAGTGTTTAATCGTATTATTTAGTATTTGTATGTTTTTCCTTTCGCTGATTTTATAGCAAACAAAACAACGTGACCAACAACCTGTTAGACCTAACGGAATTCGACTCTCTCAGTAATAGCAGTAGTGGTCCAATACTCCAACTGACATCCAATTTGGCCAACGAAGACACCCTCAACTCGAACCTAAATCCAGCAGCTATACCTTTCACTCCAATGGCCAACACATACATGCCCACCGCTGCTAATGCCAATGTAAATCCGTTCCAGGATTCTTTCATGAATAACAAACCACAAGATAATAGTCAAGTACCAGGTACGTTTGTGCGTATTACTATCGCGATATATCTGAGATATGTATTTATGTATACCATGTACAATGTGAATGTATTGTATAACCATACCACTGTTCTTGATGTGCAGATCTTTTATCATAATGCGCGTATTAAACATTCTGGGGAATGGAAGAGGAACGGATTCATTGGATTCAGAGATATACCATGTTGCTTTGCAGCGAGTAATAGGTATAACGAGATATTCGAGGCAAGCTGTCATTTATGAGATAATGTAAATAAGCGCTATCGATGTGTAGAAAATGCGGAGAGACCTAAGGTAGAGAAAAACGGGGGGCACTACGTCAAAAAGGAAATGGAAAAAATAAAAATAAAGAAGAAAACTACTTTGTCCTTGAACGTCACGAAAAATGTAAAATAATATATAATGTTAATTAATAATATTATGTAACAGCAAATAGGCACTCAGTCCATTATAGTATGCTATTAGATGTAAATCTAATCTTTTAGAAGACCTTTGAAGGGAATAAGGCCTGTTTATAACATATTGATTTTCAAATAACGAGTATACATTTTATTGTATTGAATTGCATTAAATTAATTTCACACGTGATTTTCGTCCATGCTGTGTAACGTGTGTCGCGTTCGAAAAGTTTTAATCCCGGGAATTTTTTTTTTACGAAACACACAGATTTTATTCGGATTTGACAAACAAACGCGAACTAATCGGTGTACGATGAAATCCTTTATGCGTAAACGTGTAAAACGGCTTGACAAACATTGCACAAGACGGTGTGAATTGGTTGAAATATATCTTGTATCTGCCAAAATGACGTAGGAGGTAAGCTCCAATGATTGTCTTTACATAAGAGATAGTGTAATATTACCTTATAGAATTTGAGTATAGAAAACGATTACATATATAGTCATATCTAGTAAGATCCTCTGCAGATATGATGTAAAAAAAAAAAAAGAAAAAAAAAGAAAAAGAAATAAAAAGGAACACATTTCTTCCATACTACATTTTGGGGCGTGCGCTCACTAGTCAAGCAATTTTACTGTTTTTATCATATTCTTTTTTTTTTTCTATATTATTAATATTATTATTTTCCCTTTTTTTTTTTTTAGAAAACTCACGTAATATCGGTACTCTAGGTATCACCCACTAGACTTCATTACTATTACGTTTTCGCGAATCTAACATAAATTTTCTAGCTGTGATGATAACGACGATGACGACGAAGACGACGAAGACGACGATTGCTTTGTGAAATAGCCACTGCATACGTTTATGAAATAAGAGACCGATAGCTACCGTTATACTTTGCTTATGTAAATGATGTTTCACTAGCTACAATAAGGGAACGAAATGCAAATCTACGATTACACGTTTCACAGTCAAAAGTAAGATATATCATAGCATAATTATTAATGAGAATCGCAGCGAAAACGCTCGGACTCGTGAAATATATATACATATACATACATATATACACACACATATATTTTCTGGTAATTGGATCGAACAAAATTGAAAGGTCGCGTTGCGTTAATCATTATACATAGTAGTGGCTATTCATTCTAGTGGTATCATACTAGTATACAGATAGAAAATGATAATTTTAAAGCCTGATGTTATTGAGCAAACGTTGTAATTGGTGTCTAAGACATGAGTTATTTGTTATTATTGTGGCATACTATTATAAAGAAAATCAATATAATTAGCATGCTTTGTGTTTAACACCTGCGCAAAACACGCGGGTGCATGATCTTGTCTCAAATACAAAGTTGTTCATACGAAAGGGTTAATTAAGTGCACATCCTGATTAACCTGAGTCTCGAGTAGCAGAAATGAAGAAAAATCAAAGAGAAAAAAAGGGTCATCGACATGCCCGAAACGATTATCACCGATCTATATACCGAACTCTATGTTGTTTATTTTCTCTTTCTTTTTATGTTTGTGCTACGTATGATATAGTCGAAATTCTCTTGAATTCTTTCTGCATATGTCCCATTGCGATCGATTTAAAAGAATTTCACGCTGCATGCTTGCTACCGGTTCTATTTTCCTCGAAATTGTTTAATTTAAGGACTCCGAGCACACACACACACACATACACATATATATACACGTAATGCCACAGTGTTTTATATCCCAAGATAATTTGTATCACGCAAATGAAGAAACCTAAGAACTAGATATTTTAACGATGAAACAAAAGGGGGGAGGCGGAGAGAAATTATGTATTTTTATCGAGAAAAATTGTAGCACACCGCTGTACAGAAGTATATGATCCTAAGACACTTTTAATTGCCTAAGCTTCTTAAGCGCATAGTTAAACGATATCGCGAATGAAATCGAATCAATTTTACGTATCACGACTCGGTTTACTCCACGTGGATTATTTTCAACCATGAAACCTTTCCAAGACAGAACCATGCAATGACTATATTATCGAGTTTATTTATTCAAACTATTCTATTCGGTCTAACTAAAACTATTCTATAAGGACACATAATAATAATAATAACTATAATAATTAATAACAGTAATAATAATCCCAATACATACGAACAAATGTTTCTAAACATTACAAATACTGAGAATGCTAAATATCATCAGTCACATGTCTAAAAATACTTCGTATTGTATAAATGCTTGTATGTAATAAATACTTAATATTGAAAATAAAAGGAACGTTATTTAATAAAACCTTCTGAAACTTTCTTCTGTTTAACGTCACGTTTGAGGTTCGCGTTAACGTTTGCAACGGCGCGAGTTGGCACGATAGCGAGACGATAATGCTACCACCGTCATTCCCGCGAACCCGCCTTTAAAACCCGAGTTCCTCGAGTTCTCAAGTCGGCCGAGAATGTGTTAAAAGTTGCACAAGTATCGCGTGTATTTTTCTATTCATTGCCGGTGGAAACACGTGCCGCATCTATTTTCATTTTAAAGCATAAGAAACCAACATATCCGCAAAGTATACGCGCGTTGAAAGCAACAACATATGAAATATGAAGAACATGCCTGGCTGCGTTTCGTCTCTGGGGTGTCACACCCGTAAAAAGTAATGCCCCTGTCTGGGTGAATTTCTCGCGTGTGTTCGCCCGACCGTGGCCCTTTTGACGAACAACGCTTGTTTTCACGCAAAACGAACCAACTTCGGTACGAACGCGCTTCCATCTTTTATCGAAAGTCGCTAACTCTAACGCCTCCTCTCCTTCCCTTTCTATTATTCACATCCGTTTTCCAAACCATTGTACTCCCGCCGCAGTACTTTCCAGTTCTCCGTTGCTTCTCGATCTTTCTTACTTTCTATTCACTTGCACGACGGCATATACATAATACTCGGTCGAAATACGAAAAATATTTCGTGCGGTTCGTCCCGTCCAGGGTTCCAATTTTAATAAATTTTAAAAAATCGTTCAGGGTTCTCCGTGTTGTTTCGCGCGACCGAGCGAGCAAATGATTCATAGATCACCTCTGTGGAGAGAATGAATTTTTGTTTCGGTTAGAAATGCTCCACACCTTCGCGCGAGAGTGACGCGTATGCAGCTTGCATAATATAATTTTACATCACCGTTCCACGAGCCACACAAGGTAAGTGAAGTTTGACACGGTACGCTTCTCTATCCTCCGTTTTCTCATCTTTCCCTTTTTCTTTGTCACATTACGATACGTCGAAAAACGAATCTCGTAATCCAGTGGTCGCGTCTGGTGTAAATTAATTAGTGAAACAACGTAATATCGCGAGTGGCCCTTTCCCTTTGCCGCGTTATTACAAGCGGAAAGGAAGGGATCGCCGGTGGAAAATGAGGATTTTAGATACACGCGCGTGTTTTCCAGCGGGCGCATAATTCCGGAAAATTAAACCGCAGCGCGAGATTACACGGAAAACTTTCCGCCTCCTTCGCAACGTAATTTTTGGCCAACGACCACGCTTCCCTGTCCCGTGTGCCCTCCTTAACACACCGCCAGTAGCCCGGCAACGTTTACCGAAAAAAACTCGATTCTTTACGAACCGAGCCGTTTTTCACAACGACGAACACCCGTGTTTCTTGCGTCGCGATACACGCACTACAAGCTCTAATTACCGGCTAAACGAAAGTCAACCGGCCCCTGATCCGTCCTCATTATCGAGGCAAACTTGCGAGGTATTAGACTTAGTGCCGGCGATGTTATCCGAGCGATTAAAGTAGAGCCGTGGCGCGTAGTAACTCATCATTTGGGATATCCACGGCGGTAATTCTGTAATGAATTTGCCGGGAAGTTTCGCGACGCGAATCGACCAAACGAGAAAAGGGACCTTCGCAGCGAGTAGCGTAATTTATGAAGAGCAACGACTAATTTCGCGCGATAGCGTTTCGCACGCGGGATTACGATCTCCGTATATTCATCTTCGCAGTACACCTTTAGTCAAGGTTGGTACACCATTCGAGGAATATTTACGACGAACGTTTCACGAATAACGATCCCGATCGTTAATTTTCAGCCTTGTAAAACGCATTAACCACTTGCGCTGGCAACTGATTGCGGACCATAACGAGTGACCAAACCGTATACAATATGTCGTCGCTTTCTTTTGGAACTTCGTCGGTATGACATCGCTGGATAGAAATTATTGAGAGGTGATAAACTTATTCTTTGTTTTGCCTATTTTGTTTCACTTAAATATACTTAATACTGAGAAAATATTACAATTTTGGAACAAAAAACTCTCGCGTGGCACGTCATTCCAGTGCAAGATGTTAAAACACGTTTATACTCCGCGTAAGTGTTCGTATGATTAGTCGAGATGATCGTCTGGCCGTATATTCGTAACGGAAGACGTTCTCTCGATAATTGTCTGGCAAACGATAGTTAATATTCTTCTCCCTAATTTATCTCGGAAGGCCGGATCGTTTCGTTTTGGAGAAAGGCAGGGCGGTATTCCGGCAGCGAAGGTTTCTCGCAGTCAGGGGTGTAATCCAGCAGTCTTGGGCTCGCACATTCACGTGGCAGCGAGGGGGGCGGCACGGGTGTAATTTGCGGCTTGTAATACCGTGCCCGCCGTTTGTAACCTGTTCGGGATACGCAAGTACGGTTAAGGGGTGGAGAAGAAGGAGAGCGAAAGAGGGTGGCGAGGAAGGAGGAAACCGACGTAACCGCATCGTCTCATCGAGGGGATGTGTTTTCCACATCTGAAACCGGCGAAACTACGCCACGCTCGTTTCGCTTGCCATCGGGAAGTACGTTTGTCTATCCCGTCGGGGCCCCCGTTATTTTTCTTCGACAGCGCGTCGATTGAATACGCACGTTTTAATTGCTCTGTATTTGTTTTTCACGGTGGAAAAAGAAAAAAAAAAAAGAAACAAGAAGGGAAAGAGGGGGTAGAAGAGAAGGGAGAAACGGTGTCACGAGAAGAGAGAATTCTGTCGATTCGTACCCGGGGTGCAATCTCTATGTAAATATTTTTTATCAAGCTGTTACCGCTCCCTGTTTCAGCAAAGATAACAGAATAAATAACAAAAACTGGGTGACGAGGGGCGGGGACGGGAAGGGAGGGGGAAGAAAGACGAGAGACCGAAACGGCGAAAGATTCAAATGAAATTCCGTATTTCGTTTTACCGGCACGCTCGATTTAGCGGATGCTTCAATGGCGGAAAAAGCCCGGACGGGGATGAAAAGGATGCAACCTGTGTGCAGGGGATGCATTCATTTTGCACGGGTCATAAGATCTTCTTGCGATGCTGGAAAGGGTCCGAGACTCTTCTGCGGAGGTTACTGCACTTTAGGAACGAGTTATCCTTCTCATCGACCATCAGGAATTCTCGCTCAACATTTCCCGACGAATTCTCGAGGAAACGTACAATTCCTGAAAAAGTTTTCGCGAGGCAAAACCGGTCGTTGTGCCCCATCTTCGTCGATTTATATGTACGTCAAACGCTGGTTGTAAATTTCCGCGCTCGGGGGAAGCAGGTAGCTCAGCGTGCATGTAATTTCTCGTCACCGTAAATAATTTCGTCGATTTCATCCTCCAGTTCGACGCGACGTTTCAAAGGAATCGCGAAACGCGCAATTCTTGTTCAATATAGAAACGATCGATGACAAAACGCGGCAAGTGTTTCCCTAAATATCCATAGTCGATGCTAAAAATTGATTTAACGTTTTCCAAGGAAGTAGAACGTAGAAATTAATGCCGATACACTCGGGGATGATATTTATTACCGAGGGAAATTGGCATGAGAATATTCCACGAACGAATCCAATTTTCCTTTGAAGAAACGATATGGTAAACAACTGTGCTTGAAAACAGACGAACGAGAAAGAGAGGGATGTAGAGATCGCGGCAAATGATACAAGAGAAAGCAAGAAAAAAAAAGAAAGAGAGCACCAAAGGACTTTTTCCTATTACGCGTGAATTCATTCGTTTAATTATCTTCTGCTGGACGGCAGTGCGGTTGGCAAAACATTAATTGTTCAGTTGATTGAAATGTCTAACGAACCCTCTCGAACTTCTCGCTTTATGAACGCGTCCAAACTTTTTTAATGGATCCGCATCCCATTTTCCTCGACTTTTTTTCTCCTCCTTTTTTTTTTCCTTTCCTCCATTTTCATCAAGGTAATAACGAGTCACGATGCTATCTCTTCTTCGTCAGAGGTTCGGAGCCGGCGGTCTCGCACACCCTCTCTGAAAACACGAACGAGAGAACAGTCCGGCCGGTTTATCGATAGCCGGACGAAATCGGCGACAAAAGCAAAAGCGGATGTGTCGATTCAATTTGCTCCCGGTGAAATATTTCAATCCTTGAACCGCGCGGATAAATTAATTCGCCGCCGTCTCATCGGGGTCGCGGGATTCGCGCTCCATTTCGAGCGTTCACGCGTCTCCGACAGTTCCATAGGTACCATTGGTTCCAAATCGATTGTCTCGATTTGACGGATTTCCGGATAATCCGGATAACACGATCGTGTACCAGCGCGGAGTCGGGGAAACTTAGTTGTATTGGATGGAAGCCAATCCAGGCTGCTGGCGATTGACAATTGGCGATGCGGCAATGATTTCCGATGAGCAGACCGGGGAGAGAACCGATGGCCGATCGAAGGCGGGCCAAGCGCGGAAGAGGAGAACATTGACGCGGAACAGTACCGATATTAAAGGGGAAATATGAAAAGCGTCCTGGATCTACCTTCCACCGGCCAGGCCGCTGTTTTATGTGGAGAAAAACTTTCCACGTAGAGAAACTACTTGTAGAACGCGCCGCCCTTAGGGACAGAGACCGCGAAATGCAATATCGTTTACTTGTATATCGACTTATTGAAAAACGTTTGTACCAGAAACCGAGTTGCGAACCGAGAAGTTAGAGAATCAAACAGTACGCCGATAAACAAGACGTTAATGCGATATGAGGAGAGAAGAAGAGAAACGAAATGGTTGGCCGAGTGTTTCTTAAAATAACATCAACGAACGCGAAACGAAAATGCAAATGCCATGAATATCAAAGATTCACCATTTAACCGGTACGATGCTTTTCGAATAACGGGCAGAGATAACGCGTTTGCGCCTGAGCCAATCTGCCGTACCACCAGCTGACAATTGGCGGCGTGGCAATGATTTCCGATGAGCAGGTCGGGAGTGAAACGGGAGCAAGAGTTGGCGAGGGGGTTGTCCGGGAGGGAGGCAGCTGAGAGGAGAAAGACACCACGAATA